TTGGTGCTGTGAGGCAGCAGTGCTAACCACTGATGTTGTTGTTATAATGGAAACCTGGTTAAAGGAGGGATAAAATTGGTTGCCCAATATCGCTGGATATCGAATTTTTCAGGGGGATAGAGTGGGTGAAAAAATGAGGGAGTTGCAGCAGTATTGCAATTACACTTGTGAGAAGGGATGATGCAAAATGATGCTTTATGGGTTGAGTTTAGGAATTAAAAAAAGGGACAGTCACACTGTTGGAAGTATCCTACAGACCTCCAAATAGTGATAGCAATAAGAGGGCAATAATAGGAAAAGACTTTAACTATCCTAATATCAAACAACATTACGGGCATTCATGTACTGTCGCGGGAAATTTTTTTAAACAATACATACCAAGCCCAACGAGGGGACAGGCAATACTGGGTTCAATTTGGGCCATGAAGATGAGCAAGTAGCTGAAGCGACAGTGAACAACCATATTCGGGATACTGCCCACTATTCAGTGAGATTTAATATTATTATGGTAAAGGATAGAGATGAATCAGGAATAAGAATTTTCAACTGGCTGAAGGCAAATTCTACAAAACTTAAAAATGATTTGGATGAGATGGGCTGGACAGGATTGTTAAAGGGTAAATCAGTGGTAAACCGTTGGGAGACACTAAAAAGTAAGATCCTTACAGCACAAAACAGACATGTCCCCTCCAAAAATCAGAATGGCACTGCCAAATCTAGACCCCCATGGTTGTCTGGAAAAATACACGGCAAGATTAAAAAAAGAAAGAAAGCTTATACTATTCACAAAAAAAACCTCAACACTGCGGGTAGCCTACAGGAGCATAGAAAGTGAAGGGAACAAGTAAATAAAAAATAAGGAAATCAAAGAGAGGGCATGAAAAAATATTAGCAAGCAAGATAAAAGAAAACTCAAAGATGTTTCACTGGTATATACACAGCAAAACGATAGTGGAGGAAAAAGTGGGACCCATAAGAGATGAAGAAAACAACATTTGTGAAGAAGCAGAGGATATAGGAAGAATTTTAAATTAATTTTTATCCCTGTATCTGCAAAAGAAAGTAATGATATGGATATAGTAATCCAAGAGGAGCAATGTGAATCATTGGACAAAATAAGCAGAACGAGAGAGGAAGTGTCAGAGAAGATGGAGTCCTTGAAAGTGGATAAGTCGCCAGGGCTGAATGATGGTTCCCGAGGATGTTGAAAGAGGTTAGGGAGGAAATAGCAGACACTATGAGGATTATTTTCCATCTTCACTCAACACAGATGATGTGCCAGAGGATTGGAAGGCTGCATGCGTGGTTCCGTTGTTTAAAAAGGGTACAAAGGAAACACCAATTACAGGTAAGTTAGTCTTACGTTGGTGGTGGGTAAATCAGATAAACTGTCACTTAGAAAGGCATGGACTCGTCAGGATAATCAGCACGGCTTTGTTAAGGGAAGGTCATGCCTTACAAATTTGATTGAACTCTTTGAGGAAGTGACAAGGAGGATTGATGAGGGGAGTGCAATGGATATTGTCTGCGTGGATTTTAGTGAGGAATTTGACAAGTTCCCACATGGCAGATTGGTCAAAAAAGTCCCCCATCAGGTACGGGGTAACGTGTTGAATTGGATCCAAAGTTAGTTTAGTAACAGGGGACAAAGGGTAATGGCCAATGGCTATCCTTGCCAATGGAAGGCTGTTTCAAGTGGTGTTCAACTGGATAACAAGGACATTTAAGTCAGGCTCCTACTTATTAACAAGGATCATGCCTTCAACACCATAATTCCAACCAAACTCATCTCCAAGCTCTGAGATGTAGATCTGTGCCCCGCCCTCTGCAACTGGATCCTTGACTTCCTGACCCACAGACCACAATCAGTGAGGATGGGCATCAACACCTCCCCCACGATAATCCTCAACACCGGTGCCCGCAAGGCTGCGTACTCAGCCCATTGCTATACTCCCTATATGCTCAATGTGTAGCCAAATTTTGTCCTAACTCCATCCGCAAGTTTGCTGATGACACCTCCATTGCAGGCTGGATCTCAAACAATTACAACACAGAATACAGGAAAGAGATAGAGTGCTTGCTGACGTAGTATAAAGATAACAAGCTGTCCCTCAACATCAGTGAAATGAAAGAGCTGGTTGACTTCAGGAAGCAAGGTGGAGGACACACCCCTGTCTACATCAATGCTGTTGGGGTGGAGATGATCAACAGTGTCAAGTTCCTCGGAGTGATGATCACCAACAATCTGTCCTGGCCCACCCACATTGATGCAATGGTTACGAAAGTACAGCAATGCCCCTACTTCCTTAGGAGGCCAAAAAAATTTAGCATGTCCATAAAGACTTACCAGCTCCACCTTCCTGGACACCCCCTCTTTGTTCCCTATCTTCCCTTGACCTCTTCATCTCCAACTGCCACTACAACATCAATCGCCGAAA